ATATTTTAGTTACAAAATTTTTACATATTTTTTTTCTAGGAAATTCAAGAAATCGTAAAATTTTTGGAAACAAAAAGGAAAAGGCTATGATGGAGAGAGCATTTACAAATATCTGGTAAATCTTAAATAATCATTATTGCAAATTTCAATGCTAAATATTTAGCTGATTTTTTGTACTTGCAAAAGGTGTGTTTATAGACACTTTAGTCGTGAATATATTCACAAGATATTAAAGATTAATTTTGCAATGCACAATCATTGCATTCATATAGATATTAGTAACAATGTCATATGGTTGCGTTTAGAAGATGCAATAGAGTGAGCATTCAGTAATTGTTGCCTATGATTGGAGAAAAAGATCTTATTAGCATGCACAGTATAATTAATCATTTACAGCGATCGGTGCTTAAAATGTTTATATTGATCCAAATAATCGGGAAATTTTATATTAAATTGGCCAATTACGATAGGTTAATCAAATCCCGCTCATATACAGTAAACCTTTATAGATAATGATAAATCCTAGAAGAAAGTACCAATAACAGAGAGCGTTCAATCAACCGTTGTGTCTTCTGAACGCGTTAGCTTTAACATTTATGTCTACAGTCATTAGCTTTAATGTATTATTTAATTCCCTGATAAGAAAAACTTCGAACTAATTGTAAGTATCAATGCTCTGACGACAGAAATTATTACAGAAAAATTATATATTTTCTAAGCTAAATGCATAACGTTCTATACATAAATTACATATATTATAATTTAGATATAAATAATTTCTTTGCCAGGTTGAAAAGAGAGAAATATACGTATATCTTCTCTTTTCAATCAACGCTGATACTAGGAAGAAAAAAAGAGAAATATACACAATGATCGATATAACTGTCGCACAGTTTTTCTATCAATTGATTAGCTTCATACCAGAAACCGAATGTTTCGTCTAAGTCTAGATATTAGAGATTAGAGACCGTCTAATCAGAGATATCATGTTGTAACAACTGGCAAAATCTTGCGAGTGAGAAAAGATATGTGCTGTCTTGTAGTAGTGCGAGAGAAAAAGATAGATACTCTAAAATATCTCTAACTAACGCAAATAGATGAAAAATGTCGAATCAATCGAAAATAACTTTTTCCAGCGAGAAATGACATATCAAATTAATATCTAATCAACATCTATTATAGGTACGATGATTTCGACATTGATTCGACGTCTAATTGACAGTAATTTCTCACTGAATTACAGTCAGTTTCTGACTAATGGATTGTCCCCATATAAATGACCACTCCTTTTTAGCTCATAAACTAACAGAGATAGACCTAATAAATACAATATCAAATTAAACGGCTCTGACTAAACTATATTGTAATCACAGTGATCACTTAGAAACATTATCTATAATGTTAGAGAGCGGAAAAACATGCGTAATTTTTGCAATGTAAAGTGACAATTTTAATAGATAAAAATTGTAGCGTTCTTTTTAACAAATACAACGATGTGTAATATAACGACATTTTCTTACAAATTATACAAATTATTTTGATTTAAAGTTTTACGGGCGACTATTACATTTTCAGTTTCGGCCTTGCGGTGTGACTAACTTCCGACTTTTGCGTTGACGATTGACGTGTAATGTTTTCATCTGATCAGAGTACTCTCGTCAATGCCAGAGTCGGAAGTTGGCCACATCACAGGACCGAAATTGAAAAAGTAGTAACCGTCCACAAAACTTTAAACCAAAATAACTCTTATAATTCGTAAGATAATTTCGGCATATCATACATCGTTGTATTCGTTAAAAAGAACGCTACAACTTTTATCATATTAAAATTGTTACTTTACAGTGCAAAAATTAATCATGTCTTTCCGCTCTCTAACATAATATAGGTAATATTTGTAAGTGAACACTGTGCTTACATAAAGTTTAGTCAGAGCCGTTTAATTTGATATTACATTTATTAGGTCTATATCTTAGTTTACGAGATAAAAAGGGGTGACTACTTATACGGGGACACTCTGTATATGTCGTCAATAGTTATCATCGACATATATATAATATATAATACTAGAAAATCCGACGGAACTTTCAAAGCCTTTTTTTACGCCTTCTTTTTACGTATATAATATATAATTTTTTAGTCCCAAGTAGCAAGATGACGTCTAATATATAAAATTGAAAAGTACGAAAAAGCACCCATACAGCAAGAAAAAGTTAAATGAGTCTTAATAATGTCTTAATGACGTCAAGATGTCATTAAGCATAGTTAAGAGATCATTTAACTTTTCCTTATTACTTGGGATATGGGTGCTTTTTCGCTTTAATTTTACTTTTTAATTATACATATATATACATATATATATATATATATATATATAATTGTACGCATATTTTTGAATACAAGAGAATATTTATGTCCGACTCCATCTAGAGTATGAAAGTTGACATAACAATACATCTTTCGCATCGTTACAACGGGTGAATAATACGATTATACACTGTGAAAAAAAATTACTTAAAACAAATAAATATGTTTCAGGTACCCCTCAAAAAAATAATTTCTTGAAGCAAGTAAAATTTTTTTGTTTTAAGTAATTTTTTTTCTCAGTGCAAAC